ATTATCTTTATCTCGCAGCATCATTTGACCAGAACAATGCAGGTATAGGATTTAACTACAACCTCTGAAGGATCTTTGGTAACATTTTCTATGAATGTCACCTTTGTAAGCATCTATAAACACATTCATAACATGTTATAATGCATTCATAAGACATTACAAACATAGCTATAAATATTTATAAAAATGCATTATATGTTATAGCTATGTTTATTATGCACTATGAATTGTTAACATAATACATTATAAGTACTCATCATAACAAATTATAAGAGCTCATAAGTTGTATTTATCCGCTCTAAGTAAAGTGAAGCCACCTCCAGTGTTAAGAGTGAGACTTCAAGTTGAAGTATTTACTGAAGAATTTACTGAAACTCTAAAACATACACAATAAAGCACATTACAGGCTTCAAATGTCAGAGTTTAAACTAGTGCTGCCATCAGTGTTTTACCCAATGTGGGAAAGTCAATGTACACCACCGTTAGCTTGGTATTTGTCTTTACTTTATGCTCTCCAAGCTGGGACTGACTTCTTTGGCACTGACATTATAACATCTTATTAACACTATTTATAATGCATTATATTAACAATTCATAATGTATAATAAACATGGCTATAAAATGTAATTCAGTGCAATTCTTTTTTATAAATATTTATAACCATGTTTATAATGCCTTGTGAATACATTATAACATGTTATAAATGTGTTTATAGATGCTTACAAAGGTGACATTCATAGAAAGTGTTACTGGATCTTTTTACCTTTAAATATATAGTTGTATAGATGTTCATACATATAGTTGTGCATTTTTGTAAGCAGTAGAAAAGTAAAAGAACCAAAGGCTGCAAATAGCTTTCTCAGCACTTCCAGTTAGCAACTTCAACAGTAAGAAACACTGGCAAGAAATGTAAGTAAAACTGATCCATTAAAGTCCAAGCCAAATCTAGAAGGCTAGGAAAAATCTCTAGTGCATGTGGCCAAAAACTGGTCATTTCTATGAAACAACACCTGCTACTCATATACTGGCACTGCCGTTGAGACATGACCTCACCCTTGCCCACAACAGATAACTCAAGAGCATTAGTTAAGAAAACATCCCTCTTGCTTTGACAATGTAAGTGCCAAATGTGCTACCACTAATAGCATACCAAATGGCCAAAAAAGTCTAGAGGTAGCACAAAGAAGAAAGAATGTTTTATAGGTAATGCTATAGCTGAGACGCAACCTACTTGTGAGGCAAGAGTGAACCATATGGAATGCAGTGCTGATTTATGTGATTTAACCAGTTTACTGTACAGTTGTCCTCTCTCAGTCAACTAATCAGTTGTAATATTCTTGGTGGAGTAAGATTCAGTCAACCAATTATTAATTTCTTTCTTTGTTTACATATTGAATTATCTGCAGAAATGGGAAGGTTACTTTCAAAATGTATTCTGGTGCAGACCTACAGTCTCCTCTCAAACTATGATTATATTGAAGGCAAGGTCCAAACTAGTAAAAGTCATATAATTAAATGAAAAATATAAAAAATACAACATGATGATAATAAAAAACAAGGCAAACAAGAAAACTGCACTGTTTTCTGAAACAATGTAATACTGGGTGATATACAACTGTCTGCCTAAAACTATGGCAGACGTGGATTTTGCAGTGTTGTTTGTGGCTTGGAAAAAAGAGAAAAGTGCCAGACTCACATAAATATTCTTTGTTCCCCACAAAAAAGGATTGGAAAAAGTAAAAGCAGAACGGAGACTCTCACCCCTCACTCAGGTGCTGAAACTTTTGCTTGTAGCTCAGATGATTGTAGCCCAGTTCAAGCTGTTTTTGGAAATGCAGAACTATACACGGTGAAGCAAGAAGACAAACAAATTCTTTAGGCATTTGTTACAAGTTGCTTGAACACACCTTAACATCTTGGTTGTTATTATGCCATCCACAGATGCAACAGAGAGTGGTGGCATGAGTTAATTTCACCTGAAAAAGTTGCAAAAATCAAACAGCTGGCAAATTAAATAATCACACAAAAAACAGGTAAATTGTATTTGGTGTGCAAGACTGGTTTTAATGTTATCTTGCTATTAAATCACCCTATTTTTATAATGTATCTGAAATCACATTACTGCCTTTATTTCTATACCCGTAATGGAATGTCATTAAGTGCAGCTATCCTGATACATAAGCTCATTACATGTACTCAACTATCATTTATTTGTTTATTTTTTTACAGGTGAATTAATATTTAAAACTCTAAATGTTTCTGTCAATGGAAGCTGGTCAGCGTAGATGGTAAGTCTCCATATACATTTAAAAGTTTTTCTATTCTACCAGATAGATGTTCACATGCATCTGCCATGCAGTGCACAAAATGCCGAAGAGCTGAAGAGAACGACAACTCTGCATTTTTCTTTATTCCATTTTTCTTCAAATGTGACCTACCAGTTAACAATTAGTATAGTTTTCTGATACTGTTATGTATTTTAACAAGTATTAGTCGTTCTTTCAGGAAGAGTCCTAGTTTTCTATTGGACGTTCTATGACATGCGTACACCATGTAACACAAAAACAGGCACAAAATGGCATCAAATATTATCTGAAAATAAGATATTTGAACAGACACATACAAGCACACACACACCTCATTAAAAACCACCATCTGGTCAGTGAATTAGTGGCATGCTTCATTACAGGTTGGCCAGAGCAACGGCAAAGTCCTTTTCCCAAAAAAAACCCTTCAAACCTATTGTAAAGGGCACGTGCAATAGTCCCAGGTCAGTACAAACACCTGTGTGTAATATCTATGGAATAAATTTGAGAACACTGTATATGGAAGTCTTTGTTCAAATCTATCAAAACAAATGCCAAGCCAACTTGGGCTAATAATACTGCATAATAATACTAACACACACATTAAGAACAGTCTCATACTGACTGTTAAATGTGCTTACCGTTAAGAATCCCTACACGTGTTATAATATGTGTGGGATCTAGTCTCTGTATACATTCTTTTGCACACTGTAAAAACACACATGAATCTTAAACAACTGAATAAAACCTTATGCATCTTTAATATCTAACGGGCATAATATCTAACTGTTTGGGTTGCACACCGTCTGTGTGTGTGTGAGTGTGTGAAAGCACTGTTTAAATCATCTTGATTCTGGCTGAAAGGAAGACAAACACATGCAAGAGTGGCCTGCCAGGACTGGATAAGAACGAGGAGGAAGTGTCGGTCATTCTTCTCTCAGACTGACAGGAAGTGAGCCTGAGAGAGCACCTGTCACCCAGAACAATCAGAGAGAGAGAGAGAGAAGGAGAGAGAGAGAAAGAGAGAGAGAAGGGAAAGACAAAGAGAGGGAGCTATCTTAGCGCTAACCTTCAACCCTCTCTTGCAGGTTCAAGTTCAAATTCATCATACGCCACTTCAGACTGACAGCTGAAGAATAGAATAAGTGTGTACAGACATCACAGGGCAAGGATAAGACACACTGCTGTTTACATTGTCAATACTGAAATATATAATTCAACAAATTAAACTACAACAGACCTGCACCATTTCAACTGAGTATATCCATGAACATTACCTCAATTGCTATATACTGTCTTATTCTAGACAGTCATCCTCTTTTTCTTATCTCTTTCCTACATTTCTCTATCCATTACAGATTTTCATCACTCTCTTCATCACGATATTAGGGTAGAGCTTGTTTCAAAATTTGAATACGATCAATTTATGCATTACATAAGGTGTATATTGGTGATTGAAACAAATACTGCATTCATGTCTGAATGGCAAACATTATGGTTATAGTTTTGGTCTTTATTCATTATTATTTGTATAAAAGGCTCCATTGTACCCATCTCATCAGGCCCCATCTGTTACACATTCATGACAAATGGAGCACAGAGTGAAGTGTATTCATTAGTGCATTGGCTGCTGTTGTGTGCGAAAATTAAGTTAGTAACCTTTATTAACTGTTGTTAAGGCAAGTACACTTGTTAGTTCACATTCACAGAGGTGGTTTAGTTTGTGGTTCCAGAGAGTATTTAGTGTGTAACCTGTTAAGATTAACAGTTATACATTTGCACTTATGCTATGTTTGTTGTACTGCTTCTTTTTTTAGTGCTGTTACTAAACAGATGATGTCACCGTACTGTATGTGATGTGTAGCACATGTTAGTAAACATTTTCTTGCTTACTTATAATTTCATAGCCAGACCATGAGTTAAAATTACAGTGGTAAAAAGTCATTATCATTCTCCTTAATGTTATTTACTCACATGAACTACAGTTTTAAGCAAATTATAAACATTGACAAAAAATGTCTGTTGCACATTTGGTGTGTTTTATCACTGCATCGTACCATGAAGTTGCCAACAACACTCAGCCCTATATTAGGATGGATAACACGACGGTGTATGGTGACAAGAGTTACTAGTTACCAGCCCACCAACAATACAAATACATTCATTACATTTTTTAACGAATGAATACAACAGCTGTCATATTTTTGTCAAAATATCACCATCTCACCCTCTCTCTCTCTCTCTCCGTTTCTCTTGGGAGGAGAAGTCATGATGTGGTATGATACACAATGACATACAGCTTATGCAAGAGACAGAATTTTTGATGGGGGAAAACTCATACTGTACCAAACTGCCCTCAAGAACAGTGAAACTGTTTCAATTCATCGAGCTTAAAGATTAGAGTGTATCATATAATGAAAACTGATTTGATCAGACACAGCTGACATTTGTCTAGCTGCAATGAAATGTCACAGTGTCCTGTCTGAATTAAATAAAGCCAAGTTCACCTGTCATAGAAAAATAATGCGCAGGACCATGCTTCAATAGAACCAAGAAAGATTATATTTACTGTCTTGAATAGTAACTGGATTTCATGTTTGTGCAGTGTATCATGCTTGCACACACACAGAGACATTTGAAACAGCACAGTTCTCACAAGAGAACTTCACACACAAACACACATCAGTTGCCTACCTCACGGTCTTTCAACCTCATGGCTAGCATTAGCTGGTTGCGGTGGTTGGACAGTGCCTCGCGATAGTTTCCTTTAGAGAAGAATGCCGACCCCAGGTTCCCGTGGGCACGGCATTCTCCAGTTTGGTCACCTGACGATGAAGAAAAGAGAAGGTCAACAAGCATGTCTTACTGAGCATTTATTTAACAGTTCTATCCTGAATGGGTGTCAGAAAAAGCAATCTGAATCTGAAGGTAGCAATTCAACTGCGCAAACCAAAATTTTATGCAATTTTTAACGATAAAATTCCATGTGTCGCAGAAGAACCGAGAAGTAGGCTAGTTATGGCTGACCTTAGCATCTAGATCTAGTTATATCTGGAATGTTTCCCAGACCCAGAGCTTAGAAACCTTAGAACCCTGAACTCTGGCCATTGATATTAAAATTTAGTGCTAGACTAAATTCAGGTCATGTCCACAAATCCAAAACAGACACCTGACTTCTAGTCACTGTAGGACATTAACACAGAATTTGTTTGTCCGTAAATATCAGAAAGCTTTTCTGAAATATTGATTTGATTTTAAAAAAAAGGTCATGTAGTGCCTCCAAAAAGTGGATAATAAGCTATGTAAATCTCAAGTGTAATGGTAACTCTGTCATTTGATTATGAGGAAAACTTCTGGAGCATCCCCTTCAGGATGGCTGCAGACAAGTAAACAACTTCTTACAGCATTCTTCAAGCCTTCAGCAAAAGTAGATATAACCTGTGCTTTTAAATATGTTTGATAGTCTAACAGTAGTCAGAATCGTTTTAAAGAACTACTATCACTTAAAAAATCTTTTATGTTGAAAACTTAAATCATTTATGTTGAAATATATGCAGGTTCTTCTTTGGCCCAGTGTGAACTGTGGAGTGTAGAGTGTAAGGAGTGTAAGGCATAAGTGTATTACAATACTGAGTAAATACTTTCTACAGTCACATTTTTCAAAAATAATTCAGAATTGTGTCACAGAAAATCTAATCCAATTGTGGTGAAATGTGAGATTTTATGACACACTGAATAAATTCATAAACAATCATAATCAAATTTAATTTGTAGTAAGTTGAGAATTACACACCTACTTTTCTATTACTAGAAAGTCACATTAATAGGCAATCATCATCATCATTAATCATATCTAAGCGTTTTCTCCAAGAAGTGGCCAAAGCAAATATCACCTACAAAACATGACTAAAGTATCACAATGGTAATACATGGTAAGGAGAACGCTGCCTGTGTCATGAACATCCAAAGCTTCTATGAAATACAGCAGTTAATTTTATAAGCGTGTTTCACACTGACGACATTTGAACCTAATCGTCACTTCTCTGGGGTTTGACAAGTAAAGCTACCCTATTACTGTCAGTCAAGAAGGCCTACATCAGAAGTGCTGCCAAACCTTGGCACAAAACCAAAACTAAGTGGAGACCAGATCATATTATTCTCAATCTAGAAACATGAGTGTAGACAGTATACTAGAGACCCACAAAAAAGGGAAAAAACACACTTTTTTCATCATAGCATATGACAATCAAAACATAATGTATGTAATAAGATGGAATAAATATTATCTTGCACTGAACTACTGAATCACATTAGGAATAGTTACTTTAGTTATCACATGACTTGCTCTACTTCACTTTACATTCTCTTGCACTACAAGCAATTCAGTGATCTGCTTTTTCCCTCTGTACAAGGATAATGCATTTTTTCTGGTATGAGTATATTACAAAACAAACAAACAAACAAATACATGTTTTAGTACAAAATGTATTGTTTGTACCTAAAGTCTTGGCAACTTCCAGGTCTTGCTGCATGTAACCTGTGCTTTTCTCTGTATTCCCAAGCAGCCAGTGGGCACTGCTGAGAGCCGAGAAGACAGAGCCACGGAGCTTCAGGCTGCAGGTTCCAATCTTTAGTGCAGCCTCCAGGACCACCATGGAGGCAGCATGGTGCCCTGCTGAAAGAAGCTCCTGTCCAATCACAGACACCACCACAAATGGGCTCTTGTCCAGCTTCATCTTCTGCAGTTGCTGATAGGTGGGCTCCACTGACTCTGTAATGAAGAGAGAAATAAGGGTATAGACAAACAGTACAGTATTAGCGCAAAGCATCTGAAGGTGGCAATTCAACGGCATTAATTCCACAATGTTAGAGTCTCTCTGGTCACATTTTTGTTTCCATGCATTTTTAAAAAGAATACTGAATTGCACCAAAATATTCAAATCAATATGAGGTCAAAGGTTTACACACCTTGGACAATTACAAAGTTATCAAACTGTCCAGTAATGTAGACACAAAACAAGCGAAAAATAGAAATCAGCTTAATTATTGCTGGCACTCAGCTGGTACTCAGCTACACACAAGGCAACATGATTTGGAAGATATTCAGTCATCAGCATCTCATCTTCACCCACTTTCTATCACTGGGCTGCACCCAGAGATCAGAGTATAGACTATAACATGTAGGAGAACGCATGTAAACTAAAATATCCCAAAATATCCAAATTAGGCTACACAGTCATGCGGTCAAAGAGTATAAGAGTCCTTTGCTTGTTTTAGAGGAAGCAGAGATAAAAGTTATCAGTGTTGGTTAATTTTTAAATACTTTCTAAAGCACAGCATGTAGCCACTTTTGCCTGAATTTGTAAATTAGTTCTCTGTAACAAATATGACATTTTTTTTAAAAATAGTGTTTGTAAGAAAAGACAGCATTCGTTGTGCCATTATTTTAGCTACATTTTGCGCAATTCTTATCTGAAATAAATTCTCACAGTTGACAATCCTAATACTAGTCTGATTTGCAGTACAGCGGCCCTCTGGGCCTAAATTCTGCAAAATAAAAAAATATATGATAATTTTTTATTAATATAATCTTTAAATTTGTTCTACAAGTATCGTAGTAATACTCATACTTCATTGTTAAGTATTAGTTGAAATCGAAATATTCTCCGATTGGGATTTGTTTTGCTCCCTTCTATCAAGGCAGATAATGCCAAGCTGGCTCTCCCATTGGTTGGGAATTCTATAGCTGAACTGAAGACCTAAGGTGTCAGATTAACCAACAACATAATTAGAATGTGACAGTGGAAGCAACCATTCACATTTTGATTTCCAATGGGTGGGACCAATTTTGTGAGAAAAAAAAAAAAATTGTTCCTTCTGGAGGTCCTAGACACCTTACTGACTCTGATTATGAATTATAGCAGCTCTATGGCAGAGCTCTTTACAATAAGAGTCACTGTAAAACTGCAAACGAGGTAAAATATATTATTAATATTTCTGTTACAAGCTTCAAATAAAGCACATCCCTTAAGGATCCCATGAAGACACCAGTAGAAATTAGCATTATAATAAAACAGTTTTTTTTCCAAGTTTTTGACAGAGTTTTGATATTTATGGCCTATTACACACAGTCTGTCACTGCTGATTTGGTCATCTTGGTTGCTAGAGCAATGGACCATTAAGAATGATTAAATGATTCTATTACATCAAGCAATGTCAAAATTCAAATAGGTATCCAATCCTCATTGAGTAATGAGAACTTAAATTATGGGAGAATGAGATATGAGTAAAAATTGCAGGAAGTAGCACTACAATATCTGTGAGATAAAACAGTAACTAGTGTTAAAAGTCTGTTATGGAAAAAAACAATTGCCTTGGAAATTTCTCTTAGTGATGAAGCAACTGCAAGGACTAATGAATGCTCCATGGGGCAGTGGTCATATTAAGGTAGTAAAACCTTACTGAAGTAACTCTAAGATGTCTATCTATTCAACAGTATCTTCTCCTAAGGTCTTAAAAAAGACTTTTAACACTACTGTGAAGTTCAGAATTCTTGGTGGATTGATGGAATAGTTTTTCTCATTTAATTTTTCTGAAACTGGGAAAAGATCAGTTGTTGATATATGACTAAGTGTTGGCAAAAAATGAAAGTGCTACTTTAAATTTAACAGAAATAAACGTCAAAAGGGGGAAAAAATGACACAGAAGGTGACCTCTAGAGACAGATAGAGAGAGGCGGGGGGAGAGAGATAGAGAATAACAGTGAGAGAAGAGGCAAGCAGTAACATAAATCAATGCCAGGCCATATGGAAGCAAGCACTGGCAGACTGCTGACATTACACACATATATATATACAAATCCTACATACGCACGCAACTCATCTGTAAAAATGGATGAAACAATGTATAGTATAGTATAAAGTATACAGTTTGGACCCTTACACATCATACGTATCCTAAATCTAGTTTTGACCTTGCAAATATCAGACCACACTTACATTCATTCTCCAAAGTCTTATTTTCATGCATATATAGATCAGAAAATACATGATACACCTCAGAATTGTTCTACATCAGCATTCTTGCTTTACCCACAGCTGTGCATGTATGCAGGGGTAGTGTGTCTTTGATACGCATTCATAGCTCATGATTGTATTTCAAGTGACATGCCAAGCAGTGCCATTAATCATAAGATGGGTGTGGGGAAAAAAGCACTATGACAGTAAACATACAATAAGCTACTTACAACAGTCACCGTAGCATCACACACACACACACACACACACCCACACACACCATCATCATCATCATCTTGTATATAATGGCTCCCCACAGCAGGCTAGTGACTGCAGCAGAGTCGTGTAGCAGAGAATGATTCCACTCTCCTCCTGATCTGAATAAGGACTAAAGTCATCCTAAGCCCATTTCACAAGCCATTGCCAGCTATTCTGCTCCATGCATTTTAATGCAAATCTGAGTTTCTATCAACTCTCACGAAGGGATGTGGGGTGGATGTGGGGTGTGGGGTGGATGGTGGGGGGGGGGCGCTGGGGGGGGTGATGGGTGTTAGCAATGGTCAGATGTACAATCCATTTCTGACAAGCTACATCCAACTGGGACAACCTGATCAAGTTTGTCATTTGTTACTGGGTGTATAAATTACTTTGTGGAACAAGTCTAGAAAAAGCTTAATAATAATAAGATATTATTCAACTACATTCTACAAGTGTAATATATACTGCAAAAACAATATCTTGGCATGTGAAAACATCTTAAATCTAGTCAATTTATTTAATATTTCTTTTCATAACGTTGTTGTAAAAATACTATTCAGGTTATTGAATATTGAAAGATTATTCAATTGATTTCTTGATTTTTTCTTCAGTAATTTTATCCAGAGAAACTGTCTCTATTAGCAGATAGTTTTATTGGTTTCAAGACATAATGTACATATTAACTGTTTTACAAAATAATACTTGAAAGTTAAATAATTTGCAAAACACAGTATATAATATATTTAGATTAATATCAAGACAAGAAATATTGGAAACATTGACTAGAATTAAGATGATTTCATTTGCGAAGATGCCATTTTTTGTATTGTATTAAATAATAACTAGGTACATATGAAAACTTAACATAACAAAAAAAAAATCTTAATTTTACCAAAGACAGTGAACCAGCAGGCATGTTTTGGGGAGAAGACTGGGTGCTCAAAGACACAGTGGCAGAGCTTACTAAGCAAGAAGTTCAGAAACTGCTGTCCTGCAGGTCTTCCATTCAAGCCCCATTACTCATAGCACCTGGCTAATCAAACCAGAAACAACCTGTGTCTTGATAGCAGCCCAAATTGAGACACTCAGCTGCCTACCTATCCAGCCAAAACAACTACAACACACATAGCTTTGCAGTGTTGCTATGTTGCTCCACTGTACTTAACATTAATATGTATTCTCATACTCGTTTAAATCAGTGGCAAATTGCTTTTCAAGCAGCAACATTAATTTGATTCCATATTTAAAACTTGCTTTCTATTAAAGGTGTAACATTAATACATTCAGAAAATCCGTATTTATTTGCATCATAGGGGCAGTTACGCAAAAAGGAATCCATCACTAATTACTTTTGTCAAACTATAATGGAATTACTTTACTTATTATGCTGTAAAAAGTAATATAATACCCATTACTTTACTTCTACATTACTCTTCATAACCTACACAAAAACATGAATCTTTATGTACTATTTTTTTTTTAATAACAGGCATGGATAATCTTTATGGAGGAAATGTATGCTTTAAATGCATTGTATATAATTAATATTGCCCTGTTAGAGATGTATGAGAAACAGAAGTAACAAAATTCTTATTAAGTCAATAATTAATGTGTAACGCATTACAGTTTAAATTCTTGTAATCACTACTTTGTTATAAGAAAAAGTAATCACATGATAACATGTTACTTTCTACGGTGTAAACCCAACATTATTTATTTATATAATTTAGCCTGAAATATTAAGGATGTAAGCAGAATGGCACCACATGTTAATCTCAAACTGATTCTGCAAGCTGGAAGCCACACATTAACTCCACCTCTCATCCTTTTTAAAACCCATTCTATAAAAGACATGTCAAGCATTCTTAGAAAGAAATGGAAATGCCAGATGTCATTTTGCAAGTGACATCTGCATTTTGTTTTAAGTAGTACTTTATTATACCATTTTGAATCATCAACAAACAAAAACTACTTCAGCCCAGGCTTTTATTGTGAAACTGCAAGACTTCTACATTCACAAGTGTTTTATTGCTCATCATTACAAATCACGCAATGTTAGGATACTAGCATGTTTAAAACCCATTACTAGGTCATTTGGGGAATGTTCTACATTAACTGAACATATAAAACATCTCTTATCTGAGCAGAGAAAAATTTTGCCATGATTGAAAAGGTTTTATTTTAATGCATTTTCTGAGCTAAAGGTATCTATAACAAAGGTGGGAAGAAGTACCAAATAAATATGGCCTTAAGGTCTCAAGATAACTACCCATATTATAGCATCCACACAGGCACTGAGAACCATTAGTTTTTATAAAACCAACAGATTTTGATATCTCTCAGGAAAAGAAAAATAAATCAGAAGTACTGAGGAAAAGCAATGCAGCCACATGAAAGCCTCTCTTTTTTTAAAATAAATAAATAAATAAATAAACAAACTGCTTTGGGATGGGAAACACAACCCTGCACTACATATGATGAGACAGATGAAGGCAGCACAGGGAGGAAAAAATAATAAGCGTCTGATCTCTAAGGAAGAGCAAAGAGGGCAAAGAGGGAGAGAGGGGCTGTGCCACTAAGAGCAGGATATGTGCTGGCACACAGATGGAAGTAGAGCGCTTCTGGGCAGAGATGATACCCAGAGGAATCCCTGGCACTTGTGTTTTTAGAGAGCTTTTTGAGGATTCATTGTGCCAGGAGAACTGTGTCAGAACTGTGTTGATTTTTTAAGGCCTTTTCTTTTAAGAGTTACTACATAATCAAACGTATTTTTTGTTTTCTGCAAAGCATATCATCTGATTGTTTGTAATGTAATGCATTTTACCTTTTAAAAGTCTTTGCTTTATTTGATTTCTATTTCTACAATAATGCAAATTTTTCTTAGCGTCTCTATATTATGTTAGCACCAAGTTAACTGAGGTGTACTTTTACTTCTCCAAACTAGATTTAATACTACTTATGGCAGCTCTACATAAATGAGAACATTTGAACTCGTAAGGCATACATGTGAAATATTCTTTATTCTGCTTTTCAGTTTTAGTGAATTCTTCAGAAAATGTTTTAACTTAAAGCCTCACTCTCAATGTTACTGACAGAGCTTTTTAGGTATCTGAGCTAGCTATGCTGAGAAGGTCTGCCGAGACATAGTTAAACTAAACTCATTCTTACATCGGTTATGTTTAGTATGGTTTCAGACATTTTACTTTATATACATGCAGTTTGTGACTGCAAACATATAAGTTACACGATTCATGCATTCATTGGTCAAAACCTATTTAAAAATGACAAGATAATACACTATTTTATTAATATTATATTATATTATATTATTTATATTAATTTATTTGTTTGTTTGATTTTTAATTTCAAACTACACCCACATTTTTCAGATATAAGCTACACACATATTAAGATTAGTTTGGATACACATGCATCCAAATAGCTATACCCATTTCTATGAAATAATGGATCAGATAGCCTATACTAGTTTAAATAGTCATAAACTCACTTTTAGGCCGATACCTACACATGTCTTGCCACAGCCCATAAACAGTATTTGGGGCAGGAAAATGCAGCACATCTCATTTTTTGTCATCTTCCCTTTTTGTTGAATATGCTCCACTGACAAGCATTTATTTTTCAGTGTACAGAGAAGTGATAATATGGAGGCCAAGAGGCTTCAGTTCGCTGTGCATATAGTGATGTCATCAGCAATGTAGTTCTCTGTATATACACCGTCAGTACTTTCTAGAACACTTAGCAACCACACGTATAATATAAAAAAAACAGCTTGACCTATCCATGCATGGTTGTCCTTCATGATTACTGTTGCAAGGCTAGATATGCTTTTCAGAACACTAGCAAAAATTCCCTTCAACCTAATGAGAAATTGTGTCACATGACTCAGTTTTTGTCAAAATGTCCTAATTTAGAGCGTTTCATAAATTTCAGATTTTTTTTATTTGGTATGCTTGTAAAATACACACTGCTAGAATATATATTGACTAAACAGCAAAAACTTTTTTCATTTCATTCCAAATCTCAGAAATACTAAATATTGTGATGCATATTGTGAAAATGTCTTCAAGAACTGTGATCTAGTATTTTTGCCATATTGCCCACTCTTAAATCTGTGGTTATTTTTGTTGAGGAAGGCAGGGAGAAAGGTAAGGCAGCTTTACCTCGCAGGGGAGACTTCAAAGCAGCCTCCACCATTCCCGTGAGCAGCTGCAGGCTCTTGGGGTCTTGAGCCAGCCCTGAGGCAAAGGCAGCCAACGCATCTGCATGGCGACCCAAGTACTGAAGGGCAACACCCTGTCGGAAGTATGCCTGCAAAAGATTTCTGTTAGTATTGCTATGCAGATCCACATTCAAGCAGACATCAGACTGCGTATCCTCATATGAAATACATTTTCAATATATTACATTTTTACATGGGTCTTTACTGCAATTAGGCATTTTTCCAATTTCTGTCCTTCCTCATAACATATCTAACAATTTTAAATGCATACATAGCTCAGATAAAAGGCCCTTCTTAGTTTGTACATATTGAACATAGAAGCACACTTTGCAAACAAAAAGAATGATGAATCAGTAATCAACATCCCTTTGTTCGGCATTCATAAAAGGCTGTTATTTTGTTATTGTTTACAACTGTGCTTGCATAAATTAATGTTCCTGGCTTCTGGGAATACTGTAGAACAAAAGACAAAAACTGGGAAAAGAAAATGGTCCTACAAAATTAATGACACTACAGGCAATACAGATGTTGCCACGAATAATATGTTGAAGGGGCATGTTCAACATTTCTGTCACAGTAGGTCCTGTTATTTGTAACCATTCCCATTTAAATTTCCCTACATCTTCAGGAGCACTAACTTCAGTGAACTGACAGAAGCCACGGTAACTTATTCTGAGGGACTCAGCTAGTGTAGATGCCATTTTAAAAAATGCTTTAATACTGAGAAGCATTCAGTGATAAATAAACAAAGTGTGAGCTGAAGGAAAACAAAAAAAATATTCTCTAAGGAGCTGGACATGAAAGCTGTACAGACATATATATTTTGATCTGCGCTCCCCTCAATCTCACACATCAAATCTCCTGAGTATGATGCTTTTCCATACACATTTCCATAAACATTTCCCAAATTAATTAAGTACTAAGCATGAAGTTTGATGCTAACTCAAACTTACCAATAAGATTTCCTATATCTAAATATAGTACCATCTAGCATCTGATAAAATTTGAATAGAACTGTACAATAGTACAATTCTATTCTAATTTTACCAGATGCTAGATGGTACTATATTCTTCAGTCCAGCATTGGTATATACTTCAGTCCAGCATTGGTATAAAGCTATACAAAGAAATATCATTGCATAGCTTTATACCAATGCTAGACTGAAGTGCAGTTGAGAAGACATTCTAGTTACCAACTAACGACTTGTTTTACTGATGAGCCTTTTATTGTATTTGATGTGGCTTAGTAGTTTCATTTCTTTTAAACGTATGCCTTGTGCCAGAGACATTAATATAAGACTTTACCTTTGAGACCTGAATTTCTATTACCTTGGAAAAGCCTTTTCATTATCTTGCCAAGAGACTCTCAAATAATCCAATAAAGAGGTGAGGTGAGGGAGAGGTTAGAGAAAATGAGACATGACATGAATTTGTGGGCACCAGTAATTAATTCCACTCCCCTTGTCCCAGCACACACTGATTGCTAAATCTCCATCGGCCCTCACCTTTGCACTGCAGATTCACCCAAAATGAAAAGAAGCCATGTGCCCATTATATTGCCTACATTAACTTTTTTCTTTCGAATGCACTTAATAAAGGTTATATGACCTGGTGAAGGATAAATATAAAGCTGTGTCTCCAAAGACTGATGGAAATATGGAGATTCCAACAACATAATGTGAGAGAAGCAGAGCAACTTTGTGGGAAAGGAAAAATGTAGGAATGAAGAGGGGTATTGAGAGAAAGCATACTCGGATAAAATGAGAAATGAAGAAAGAGATAAATAGGATGGGAGAAAGAGAGGAGAGAGAAAATGGAGATAGAGAGAAAGAGAGAGAGAGAGAGAGAGAGAGAGAGAGAGAGAGTATAGAAAAGTAGTAAAAGACAAATAAATACATTGATTTAATCAATTAATTAATTAAAAATTCCACTCTGAGTAAAGGTATACTATAATGTTTCGTCAGTGTCCCTCTTTGATGCCCCACTGAAACAGAATTTGCCATCTTTTCTAGATGTACATTTTTCTTTTAACATTCTTGAAAAGGGCATTTGAATATTGCGAACACATGCATTTGCATAAATACAGAAATATCAAAGAGCTAGAGGAAAAGAATAGAATTAATAGAAGACAATGGCTTTACATTTTTTAACCGAATTTTGTAGTTACTGTAATAATTTTTTTTTTTATAATTAGCAATTGTTCTTATGTAATTTTGATGGTCCTGTGTATATGTTTTGTAAATGTTCATCTTGTCTAACTACACTTCAGCTAAATGTTTACCAAATTTATTCCCAAGTCAAAATAAAGGTCGACTGATTGACTGATTAAATTCAACTTACGTCTTCCCTAGCCTGAAGCCCAACACTCACTATAACTCCAACCTTAATCCCAACCCAGACACTAGACCTAATCTTAATACTAACCATAGTCCTAGTAGTAATCCTAATTCTATTGCTATAAATAATAAACTAGATTTCACCAGATAGTTTGTTAACAATGTGAGCAAGGTGCAGATAAGTTAAAGTGTAACCAGGAATTATTATGCCTTGAGTTGTCACCACATAGTTTTTACTTTGCTGATTTTAAAAGGGAAAATAAAGTCTCCTCCACAATTATTTGAAAAAAAAAAAGTAAAAAGTGTAAACTTTGTTTAATCTCTCTCTCTCTCTCTCTCTCTCTCTCTATATATATATATATATACACACACACTATGGTTAGTATTAAGATTAGGTCTAGTGTCTGGTTTGGGATTAAGGTTGGAGTTAAAGTGAGTGTTGGGCTTCAGGCTAGGGAAGACGTAAGTTGATCAAGTTTAGTGAACTTTATGAAGTTTAATCAATCAATCAGTCAACCTTTATTTTGACTTGGGAATAAATTTGGTAAACATTTAGTTGAAATGTAGTTAAAGACAAGATGAACATTTACAAAACATATACACAGGACCATCAAAATTACATAAGAACAACTGCTAATTATGAAAAAAGAAATTATTACAATAACTACAAAATTTGTTAAAAAATTGAAAGCCATTGTCTTATATATTATATATATATATATATATATATATATATATATATATATATATATATATATATATATATATATATATGAGACATACAAGAGAACATACAATTCAAATAAGCGAAAAGTGTGCTGACCTTCATAATTCAGGAAATGGCTATAAAAAAATAGGTGCTTGCCTGAAAACGCAGTTATCTACTGTTAGGGCAATATGCAAAAGTTCCAATCAAACGGAACTGTGACAAACTTGCCTGGATGAGGACCCAAGTTTATTTTGCCCCCACACACAGTGAGGGGGAACAGAGGCAAAAAAAATCCAATGATCACTATTGGACAGCTACAGAAAAAACAGTAGCATCTTGGGATCACCAAGTCTCCAAAACTACCATCACACGCCACCTCCATACCAACAGATTATTTGGAAGCCATGCCAGGAAAAACCACCTCCTGTCATCTAAGCAAACGAAAGCGCCTGGAGTTTTCTAAACACTACTGGGACTGGAACGGTGTTCTATGGCCAGATGAAACAAAAATTGAGCTTTTTGGCAACAAACACTCAAGGTGGGCTTGGCATAAAAAGAAGGATGACTACAGCAAAAAGAACCTGATGCCCACTGTTAAGTATAGTGGAGGGTCTGTGATGCTGTGGGGCTGTTTTTTTATCCAAAGGCCCTGGGAACCTTGTTAGGGTAGACAGCATCATGGACAGCATAACAGGACATTTTAAATCAAAACCTGTCTGCTTCTGCCAAGAAACCAAAAATAGGTCGTCAATGGATCTTCAAGTGGGACAATGATCCGAAACATATGTTCAGATCAACAGAAAAATGGTTTACTGAACACAAAATCGAGCTTCTGTCATGGCCATCTCAGACTAAACCCCACTGAAAATCTGTGAGGTGAGTTAAAAAGAAGAGTACATGAGAGGGGATCTAGGACCCTGGATGATCTGGAGAGATTCTGTGAATAATTGTGGAAGGGACTGCATGTACACATGCGCAAAGTTATAGAACATTTTATATTTTGTGCTTTATTTCTTCCAATATGTTAAACTTAGCAAATAAATAGAAATTATGCAGTAAAATTAGCAGAAAAATGATACATATAAGTCTGTTTCCTGTAGAGGTCTGCATGGGACTGTTTTTTCAGTATCACTCCTGTCCACTCCTGCAAGGTTTAATCTCACTAGGCTGGGCAGCTGTGGCCACCAGACTGAAGGTTTTGCCATCTTTGTAAGCTAAAAGAATCAGCACCTCTTTAGAATGCCTTCACTCATTTTAATAGTTTTACTATATATGATTAAGTGATCATTCTACTCTACTTAGGCTATTCATTAATTTCATCCCGTTCCCACCTGCAGTGGGCTGGTTACCCACCCACTCCCATTAACAACACTAAAAACTACTGCGGAGAGTCCTGCAGGTCTAATGGGAATCCCACAGGAGTGCGAATCTCCATTGTAGAAAATGCGTTTTCTTGATTTTCTAAGTGAAAATAAGCTATCAATTTATGTGACCAGGGGTATTCAAACTATAAATATTTTAAAATTGTATGAAGCCCCTGACTAAGGCACTACAATTGAAGATGTTATGGCCCAACTGGGTTAAACCGCTGCCAATTTTATTTAAGCAACTGGGGATTTTTATTGAGGAGAGTAGGCTGATCGTAAAATGTCGGGGAAGAATGATCAAACCTTTCTTCACTCTTAACAGTCTCTACAATAATAGTGCTGACTCTGACATAAAACAAGTCAACGGTTTCTCCCTGGGATCCCTCAAGGGACTGTATGTGTGTGTATGTGCTGATGTATGCAAGACAGCAAAAGAAAGAACAAAAGAGCGCACCGTAACAAAGGCCTGTATATGACTGCAAGTATTTAATATTTCATGACTGCTTGTTAGAAGTACTTTATTAAGTACTAATATTTATACCTTGCCATTCTCCTTTAAAGAAAGGAAGAAACAATGTGACATTAAAGAAATGCTCAAGCACTTCAGATGTTTCACACCTATCCCTGGCAGGTAAAACTGTACTGGTTTCTTCAGGCCCTCCCCATCTTTCACAGAA